TGAATTTGTCCTTGGATTAGCCTGAGGCTAAGTGTGAAGACACGTTTTTCGGAGGTCAAGTAAACCTTTGAGAGTCTGCTGTCTGCTTCGCCCTTTTCAGTCTTCCATAAGTTCATTCGGTCCCTGAACACCAAAATGTGCAATCAAAAATCGTTTGCACAATAACATCTTAGTAACAGAATAACTGGGTGGACAGAGTCTAAAACTTTTGTGTAAGATAACCCTAAGTTGAACATACTGCGCAAAGCCGCCTTATGTTTCACTTGGTACGATATTCGAGACATCGCGACACCTGTACATAAGGTTGCTGAAAACTCTTTGATAGCGCAAGATCAGTTTCGCTTCTGGGCTGGGCGTAGTCTCTGAATCTCCATAAACCTTACGTGCTAATTAGACACCAACTGTATGCGTGTTGCGATAAACAATTATTCGCAAACTGAGTTGTTATTGACGGGAGAATGAGATCGATCTCACATGAGCCTGTGGAACTCTTTTCTGTGTATGCATCAAGAAATTCCTGTAAAACTTGTCAGTTTAATCACCGAGGCAAACGAAATCCTTGGAAAGTAGTCCGAATGCCATCTATTCGATTCGGACGAAGCGGATGATGAAATCCGACCCCTAGCCGTGATAGTACTGTTTAGATCGATTCTGTCTGACAGTCTCACAGGTGAGACCAACGCCAATGTATAGAGGATCACTGGAAAACCCCCGTGATAACGATACAACGCAATCGCTGGCTGTTTAGGAGTTATAAGCGACCTTTTGAGTAGTGTGTTGCGTTTATACCATGGTAATAGGTTGGTCGGTTGTTTTCACACCCTTCTTGGAGCCGTTTTTGAGGCTCTTTAGGATCGTCAGATAGGGCTATTTCCAAAATCCCCATCAGTTTTATTTTCCACTTTGACACCCAACTGAGAGTATCTAAAGACAAGCGCTCATAAGCTCCTTTGAACTGTCCAGAGTTCCGTCTAACTTTGTCAATCGTGTCTTATCAGATTAGATACTCTAACATAAAGCAAACTACTCTAAAGGTTGGCAAAACGCCTTCGAATGAACGATGAGGTGGCCTTTGTACAGCACATTCAGTTGAAGGATATCAGTTGAGGAGCAAACTCATATGCAAATGGGTACATTTGTTGAAATATGTCCAGTTTGGTCCCAAGTAGAACTTAGGGTTGAGGGAACCTCGAGGACTGCGCTCATCTGATGAGCCAGCCTCAAGAAGGGCGAAACCGGACGTGGGCTGTGGAAGAGTTTTCGGGTCTTTTCCACATAAGT